GCGTAAAATTTTAGCATATCTATAAAAAAATCAATTTAGTTCATTTCACTAAAAATAGTATGTTGATCAATTAATTAATCTAGTAATTTTTAGTGTAATAATTAATTAATCTAGTATTATAAATCTATCTTTTGAAAATATCTATCTTCATCATATAGAAATTGTTTTGTCAACCTTATTTCATAAAGGAATAATACAAAAATAATTGTGTTGCTTAAATTAAGAAAAAGTAAAAAAAAGAAATTACAATTTCAGGATTCTATGAGAATAGAACCTGAAAATGAAAGTGCAACAAGTGATAGTGAATATTACGGTGCTGGTTGTTCGAATCAATCTAAAATGGAGCAAAACACAACAAATAGCTCTCCGGAAAGTACAGGACATCTGGAATCATCCGTTGGTTCACAATCTCGTCTATCTTACATGCATCCATTCTCAAACCTCTGTACTCCATCTATCCTTCCTGTGATGACGCCATTTGTGCCTCTTCGTAAGTTGTTTTTTAATTTGATACTTTCATTTCTTTTTTTTTTCCTTGTAAAGTTGCAACTTCATATATTTTCAAAAATATTTTCTAAAGCATAATTTGATTAATTACAAAAAAAAAAAAAAGAAAATTCAAAATTATTTCTAGCCATCATACGAATGGATTTTTCATTTCATTTCAAATAGTAAATTCAAATAAATTACTTCTTATCACACCTGCTTTTTTGGGAAGAGCCTAAATGTTATCGTCCAAAACAATGCAAAATGTTGCCTAATATTATTTTTGATATATTGAGTTTCTAAATAAGAAAATGTTTGTTTTGAGAGGAAATCTTTTAAATTCATTCGGAAATGATGAGAATTGAGAATGCATCGAAATAACTGATAAAAACTCAAGATAAATCAAAATTATTCTGTATAGCTACCAAAATATTTCACCATCACATTTTTTTCTTTTTTTTTTTTGAAAGTTTTGTTGTTCTTTTAAATGCCGACGAGATATTAAAAGCTTTTTGCTCCTTTCTTATCATTGAAAGAAAATGAAATTTCATTTTTTTTTAATATTTAAATCCAAAAGAATGTACCATCTTTTGATTTTAAAATGAAATGCTAAACTATGTATAAACATTATTAAATCAAAAAAAAGAAAACTATCTATTTAA